ACTCTCATTTTCGCCGACTTCGTCCCTCACCTGCTCTTCACCAAGAAACCCCTTGAGTTTCTTGTCACGACCGTAGTCGGGTGGTCGGTGACAAGTATTTTATGTTTAAAATACAAATTTGCTAGTCCACATTCAAAACTAGGCCATGTGACAATTTCTGTAACAAACAGTATCTACCCTGTATATCCAGATGCCTACCTTCTTCTTCAAACTAACTAAAAGATTCTGGAGGGCAGGAACCCTTACAATCCCTCCCAATCCACAAAGTTTTCAGCACACAGATGATAATACAGAACAGACTTTGCATACAATCCACAATTTATTTCCTAATAGGAAAAAATCCAGAAAGTATGTGGCAACAGTTAAAAAATATGGAAAAGTTTTCAATTTTTATGCTATATAAAAAAGTAAAATAAAAAATCATCACATTAAAAAAATACATGTGAATAAATAATTAAGACATTTTAAGATATGAACTATTTTCTCTTAAAAATTTGAAACATTGTTGGTCTATTTAAAAGACATTAAAAATGGGGAAAATGATTGCTAAATGAAATATATCATTTACAGATATTGGAAAGAGACTAAATAGCAAGGAGTGCTTAAGAGAAAACAAAGGATACACACACACACACACACACACACAATCTTAAAAATTGTCACTATTACTGGCATTTGGATTATATGTGTTATCTATATCACATACTTTATCTTTCCTCTCTGAGTTCTGATGCAGAAGAGTTGTGAGGAAAAAAATGTTCAGGAAGTGAGAGAAAGCATTGTATGTTCAAATGTGCTGACAGTCATTAAAATTCTTAACTAAGGTTCACTAACTCCCTCATTGCCATTCATAGCTGACCCTCCAGTGGGTTTTCAAGGCTGTACAACACAGTCAGAGACTGCTCAGCTTTCTCCCATGAAGCGACTGACTGGTGGACTAGAACCTCCAGGGGTGCAGGTTTGGGGTTAGCAAGTAAACTTACAACTAGTTTACCAGAGCTCCCTCAAATAAAGTTAAATGAACCTAATGGTTTCCTTTTCTGCTTTCTTACAAATCAGCCCACATAATTTTTAAATTTAAGCAGCCTTTTTAAAAAAATTCTTAATTTTAATGAACATTTACAGAGATTTTGGATTTCTATTCATTCATTGTTGCACATTTTTCCCTGCCCACCAGTTCGCTCCTCTCTTTGAAAAGTAAAAGAAACAAAAAGAGATCTTGAAAAGTGGAAGAATATCCCTTGCTCATGTATAGGAAGACTCAATGTTGTGAAAATGGCAATACTACCAAAA